GAAGAAAGCTCTGGTGGTCTGCTACAGAGAAAGCAGCCATTGAAAACCCTAGGGCGCACAGATCTACTTTGACATCGTGCATTGCCATTGGAATCAGCACCATGGCCGTTCGTTTCTTTGTTCTTTGTTGTCAATTATGTGTCAAATATGGTATCTCAGGGGACACTGGGACTTGTGTAATTAAATAACCACCTTCCCCAAATGGATAAATTATGGAATATAATGGGTGTAAAGAAGCCTCATTCCTCATTGGTTAAGTGCTTGGCTGCTAACGAAGGTTGACAGTATGAACTCACTCAACAGCTCCTTGAGAGGAAGGCTAGCAATCCGTTCCCATAAGGATTACAGTTTACAAAACCTTAAGGGGCAATTCTCCTTTCTTATAGGGGCTCACTGTGAGTTGAAAATCAACTCTACAGTAGCCAAGAACAATAACAAATGGATACAGACTAGAATGCAGGATTGGAAAATTGAGTATTACAAATTTATCTGTTCCTTCCAAATTGGTGTACAATGTATTCAAATGTAATCTAATTCATAGGAGCCTTGATGGAGCAGTGGTGAAATCCCTTGGCTAATTTAAAGGTCAGTGGCTTGAACCTACCAGCTGCTCTTAGAGACAACGATGAAGCTGTCAGTTCCCATAAAGATTTATAGGTCTTAGATGCCCTTTATGAGCAATTCTTCTAAGTCCTAGAGGTCGCTATGATTCACATAGCAAATTGACTCCCCAGCAATAGACTTGGTATTTTTAATATCCTAATATTAGATCTGTGGCTAATAGTAAGGGGAGGTATGTTCAGGAAGGATGCTGGCCCTACCCAACATAAAACAACACACCAAGTGCCATAGAGACTATTGTAACACATAGCAACCCCTTCACCATGTGAAGGCTCACAAAATAGATGAACATAATGTGGGGAAGAGAGTAATCTCTCCAAGACAGGAAAATAAAATGTCCAGTTCAGTGAAGAAAGTATTCTTTTGCAATGAGATAGAAAACTATTGAAAGTGCTCTAAGACCTAGGCCTGGGGAACATTTTATTTCCCTGCAGGCAGATATTATAACCCCCGCCATCCAGTCCATTGAAATTCATAGCAGCCCTATGGGGCAGGGTAGAATTGCTCCTTCAAGGCTTCCAAGATTAAATCTGTCCAGGAACAGGCAGCCTCCTTGTCCCCCTGCAGAGTAATTGGTGGATTTGAACTGCTTACATTGGGGTTAGCAGTCCCACAACACCACCAGGACTTCTTGGCAGAAGTCATAAGGGAAACCAAACCATGAACAGACACAGTAGGCATAAAATCAGAACAAAAGGAGGTAGCTGCTTTACATGTTTCATAGCGCTAAACAAACGTGATCCATCACCATCAAAGGGGTGCCTTGGTCACCGGACCAAAGACCCAAAACATATGGGGCTGAGGCCCCAGCTCTGCAGACTAGACTTTGTATTGTAACTGTGGCTGTTTACCCCCAAGGGATTGTTTCTTTCTTTGGCTCTGTGACTGTCCAACTCCTATTATGAGGAACTCAATCATTTATTACGAGTGATAATATATTCAGTATAGTTTCTGTGAAATTACCCTGCCCTCAGTTCATTTTTAAATTACTGTGCACATCGCTGCAATAATTGGAAATGGTTTGAATCTTTGTGGATTTCAAGTATAACAATGAAGGGAAGTTGTACTCTTATTTATATTTTATTGGAGAAGATATCACTTCGCCCCCAAATTGGCAACAAAAGTAATTACTATGGATATTCCCATTATAAGCGATGGGTGAAAGTAAATAGAATGTACATCAAAGAATAAGAAACAAAATCAAATCCGTTGCCATCCGTTTGACGTCAACTCATAGCATCTCTGCAGGGCACAGTACAACCACGGATCAGGGAGATTGCTGCATCTCCCCCTTAACACAGCGGGGGGCCAAGCCTTCGAGGCTGGGCTTCACTGCCAGTCACTTAGGGTTCTTTCTACTGAAGAAAATCAAATGCTGTCAAGTTGATTCAGACACATAACGGCCCCATATTGATGAACATATAGTGCAAATGAAAGTCCCTTGAGCACAAGGTATAATGAACACTGTCACCATGAAAAAGCAGGTTCTGAAGTCATAGTTATTACAGTAGCTCGTGAATGGCACAATACAAAGAACCATGAATTGTATAGAACTGAAGGCATGACAAGAAAGAAACATTAGTCGGTAGAAGAATACAACATTTAACAAAGGAGGTTTCAGAAATCAATAAGGAATGTCTATGAAACATCATCAGTTTTGACTCTCACCTCACCAAATCAAACATTTAAAACTATGACCTCATTAAAGTGTCAGCAAATTAAAGAATGGAATAGAAAAATGATGTAATATAGCTAGGAAATGTTTTTTTTCAATTTTAATGGAGGAGGACTTGCTAAGCATAAAAAGAACAATAGATTTTAACACATACAAAATTAAATTTTTGTACTTCAAAAGAATTTTATACATCATTAAAAGGCCATGGAAGTTATTTGCAGCACATATGGCAAAGGTAATGTTCTTACCATTTTCTGAAATGTAAAACCAAATTAAAACACAAGCATATGAAGTTTTCAAAACCCACTTTAATAAACATATAACATTGTATCTGTTCTTTCCAAATGCACATATAGGTAAAGTGTCTAACAGGGATTTTCTTTTTCGTCTCTTGTTGTGGGATTAGGGGATGTTTCTAGGAGTCCTCTGGAAGACTAGACAGGGAACAATCTTTAAAATAAGTTTCCAAGGCAGAGGAATACAGAATAACAAAGAGAAACTAGCTGTTCTAGGTTTTTAAGTAAAAATTTAGAGTGTCGAACGATTACTGTCTGTGAGAAGGAAGAGTTCGTGGGGAAACCCCATTATTTCTTAATTCCATTCTTTTCACAAACTTCTTGTATTTCGAAGAGACTGAGTGGATCCTGAAACATAACAGTTCCACCAGTTTAATAATATTAAAGAAGTATCACAGGTGAGCTTGGACTATAATATTTAGTTGATCCTATAAGAAAACCAGCTACCTTCTTGTGGAAAAAACGTTTGCATGTCTTTCATTCATTCCACGAGAAGCTAAAAGAAAATATGTAAAATGACTGTTATAAAAGTTATTAAAATATACAAAAGATCTGGAAATAATTTCAAAAGAAAATACCAGTACATTAAGCTATATACAGAATAAAGATATGGTTGTCCAAAATGTAATAAACACTAAAAAGATACTAGGCCATTAAATTCTCAGAATTATAAAAGTTGAAAGGTTAATTTATAGAGTCCATCCCATGGATACATATGGGATGACCAACCAGAAACTGAAACTCGGTGCCATTGAGACAGTGCTGACGCACAGCACCCGTGGAGGACATAGAGCTGCTCTGTGAGGCTCTGAGACTAACTCTTCAGGAGTAGAAAGCCCATCGTTCTCCTGGGGAGCAGCTGGTGGCTTCCAGCTGCTGACGCTGCAGTTAGCAACCCAGTTACTAGCTACGATGCCACCAGGGCTCCCGTGATAAGCAAACCCAACCAAAGCACTGCCATCAAGTTGATTCCAAATCACAATGACCCTCCACGGGGTTTCGGAGGCTGTAATCTTTGTGGCAGTAGATTGCCTCATCTTTCTCCTGATGAGCAGCTAGGGTGTTTGAACCTCCATCCTGTGATTCAGACCGAATGCGCTAGTGATCCCCAAACAGTGATTGTATTAGAACTGTAAATCTAACTCTGACTTCCTGTTGAGCAAAGCAGAAATCTGACAAGGCACATTGCTTACACAGTGCAAAAATGAAAATAGGCAAACCAATTTTTTTTTTAATGGCTAGTATCGTGGTTTGAAAACTATGATGTCAGGGCAGAGACAGAATGGCAGCATTGTGAAGGACCCACAGGCGCTACCGTAAACTTGCTGGGGGGCCCTGGGAAATTACTTCTCTGTGTCTCAGTTCCCACGACTGTAAATGGAAATCATGACAGCTGCTTACTGCCAACGATTCAATGAATCCATCAAGCTAAAGTGCTTCACGTAATGACCAGATCACCAAAATGAGCACCGAATCAATGTTAGCTGTTAAGGATGGTCCTTAGAGGCAAGAATGGAGAGACGTCACTTCAAGTAAGCTGGACGGGTTGTCCGGAGAGGCCAGTCCCTGGAACAGGACATCATACTCAGCAAAGGGAAGGGGTGGGGAAAGAGGAAAACCTCCGAACGATGGATTGACACAGTGTTTGCACAATGGGCTCAAACATAAAAACAATTGTGAGGATGGTGCAGGACTGGGCAGTGTTTTCTTCTGTTGTACATAGGGTCACTATGAGTCAGACCCAACTCAACAGCACCCAACAACATCAGTGTTACCATGTAGGTCAGATATAGCAAAGACGGGAGCAACGCTGCCCATAGAATGAACACTTGCACAAGTGAATGTGAATGTGAGTGTGCATGAGTTCTCTCTCTCTCTCTCTTTCTCTTCTCTAAGACCATGATTTTCCCTTTGAGCTACATTCTGCCCAGTTCCTCTGCTGACGATCACATTAAAGATGGTGGCCCCATTTATAACACATTCGTAAATAGAGTATAAAAACTGTCCTTGTATGTTTGCTTGAAGTTGGCACCAAGGCTCATAAAATCTGATTACAGAAGATATGTCTTAATCCATACAGACTATATCCCTTAATTCATACATGATAACGTCCAATTTACTAGTTTATATTTCAAAACCAGGAAGCAAAATTCTGCACACTGAATGACCAAGAAGTTTCCATCAGCATTGATTCAAGTATCAGAAGTCCTCCATTATTTGGGTACATGGCAAAATAAAGGAGCCACCTAAAGAGGTAGCATTATTTGCAATACATGTTCTGTGTAGCTTCATTTAGGGTGTTCAGTTAATCCCTAGGCAGAAAAAAAAATTACTTCTGTGAAAAAGAGAATCTGTGGCATTTCTAGTGTGCGGGAGTTATTTAACTTTCTCTTATGTCTCAACAATAGAACGCCACTGCTCCACCTTTCAGAAGCCCAAAGGTGTCCTTGTGTCTCCCCCCAACTGTGGCAAGCAGCCGGCGAAACCTGGGATTGTTTGCCACTTAAGTTGCCGCCAGGGGTTCCTTTTATCTGGAGCCAGAGAAGTGAGGTGCACCAGCTCAGGAAGATGGAGTAGCAAAGTCCAGACGGCTGTTTGTAAAGGTAAGTCTCCTGCACTTGTCAGCAGGGAGGGGGTCGGGGGAGAGTCAAATTCCTAAATAATGAGGAGCTGATGCCGGGGGCTTAAGTGGAGAGCAAATGTTTTGAGAATGATGAGGGCAATGAATGTACAAATGTGCTTTACACAATTGATGTCTGGATGGATTGTGATAAGAGTTGTATGAGCCCCTAATAAAATGATTTAAAAAAAAAAAGAAGCAAGTAAGTAACCCCATGCTACACCATCATTGACACACTCGAATCTTGCATGAAAAGAAGGGCAAAAATGTATGAATTTTTTGTCAAGTACATTTTCCTCCTTTAACCATGTAGATATACCTGATAAGGAATTCTTGAAGGCATCCAAGAAAATAATGCAATTTTACCTCAATGACAAGGCTTGATAGAGAAGTGTAACAATTATATGCTTACATGAGAACTAAGTTTACAGATTCAAGAAAGAAAAATGTTATGCATATAGGCATGCTTGATCCCATCATGGTAGAAAAAAATATAATATATATTTTCCAATGTTGTCTTTGCTTTATGAATATTTCTAACCTTAATGATCACAAACTGCACAGCAGAGCACTCCTTTCCAAGACCTGCAGCAGACAACAGAGTCTCAAGAAAGATTCTTCGTTATCCTTGCCGTGTGTGCAAGTACATTTATTTGGCAACCGAATTGTTTGGCAATCTAATTGTGATGAAATCACTGAAGAGGTTCTAAGACCAAATAGAAATAAATGTTTTAAGTTATAGCATTAGATATGAAAAAAATCTATTTAAAAACAGTGTATGAAAAAAGTAAGAATGTATGGTCATTTATTGTAGTGACTATTTTATGATCATGAAATTTTATTTTTAATTTTTTTATTGACACTAGAATAGATGGCTAGTAATTATATAGAATACCTGCTGTTTATTTCTTTATTTAATTAAGAAATATTTACTAAGTGTCTACTATATGCTAGACACTGTTTAGGACAATGGAGTGAGAGATATCCTGGCCTTCAAAACACTTGAATCTTTCTGGAGAGAAAACTCAACTTGTCTGTTAAGTTCTATAGTTTAGAAAGTGGAGAGAGCTCTGGGGACTTACAGAGTAAGCACCCAAAATGGACCTGGGGAGTCAGGGAAAGCTCCTGGGTCTGCTGTCTTAAACAAAGGGTTAAAGGCAGGAGTTACCCCGATGATGACATTGACTGAGGTAGGAAAAGAACACGGGCAAAGACACAGGTAACAGCAGGACAGAGTGAGTCAGTGTGAAAGTGAGTTCCAGGAGGGCGGTGGTAAGAGAGGAGACTAAGAGATCCACAGGTCAGTCCTAGTGAGGGAGAAACCTAAGAAGTCACGCTAAGATAAATTATCCTGAAGGCAGTCAGACCAATCATATAGAACATCAGTCAGAGTGTATTCATATAATTATACTTTTTAACCTATTTTCCTTATTGGCTTAGAAGTAAATGTCAATTAAAATGCATTGCTTTGTGTGTTTTCTGAGTCAGATGTAGAGGCTCCTCAAATCAACTGCCCTAAAGACATAGAGGCCAAGACAAAGGAGCATCAAGACTCCGCTAATGTGACGTGGCAAATCCCCACAGCCAAAGACAACTCTGGTGAGAAGGTAAGGCTTCTTTTAATACACAGATAGATCATACATAGCCGAGACCTGCGTGCGATCTTGAACACGAAAGATCTCATGAATTGGTTCCACACCCACATGCAATGTGTGTGCATTGTGGAGGCATGGGATATAGTTGGAAGAGTTACAACAAAAAGAACTGTTCTGATCATTGTACTGAACATACTTTTCATCAGTGAGGTCTTAAATCTAAAGTTTTTATCGTGCACATTCAATTGGTGAATTTGTGTGGTGCGTTCACCTTCCATGACAAGGCCCATCAGGCCTCCTGTATCAGCATTAGCTGCAGAGGCAATAAGAGCCTGTGTTTACCTCTCTTTCAGTCTCTGAATAAAGACAGCCAAGCCACTAGCAAGTAGGATACACTAAACATGTCTTCATTTCCACGGCCTGCTCATCGCACGGCAGTGCCACCTTATGAACCAGGCTTTTAGCCTTTGACAAGATGAATAACTTCTGAGCTACTCAGCGCTGTTTCTTCCAACCAGGGCCTCCTTTGTGGACTCATTTGGACACTCCCTGTGTGCATTTAATGTTGTGTAACCTGTGTCTACTGTTTGAGCCCCATATTCCCAACTCATTGTCAGCTAGTGCTTCTATAACAGAAATTTCACGTGTAGGTGACTTTAACAAACAAAAATTTATTTTCTCACAGTTTAGGAGGCTAGAATTCCCCACATCAGGGTCCTGGCTCTAGAAGAAGGTTTTCGCTCTTTGCAGGCTTTGAGAAGCTCATTGTCTCTTCCAGCTTTAGTTTCTTGGCTTCTTGATGATCTCCATGTGACATGGCATCTATCTTCTGTCACTTTGCCTGCTTGATCTGCTCTTTTGTATATCAGAACTGATTGGCTTACAATACACCCTACACTGTTACTGTCTCATTCACCTGCAAAGAAAACTCATACTCAAGTGACATCCTAACCACAGCGCTAGGATTTATCACACTTATATTGTAGACACTGCTCAATCCACAGCACCCACCTAATGAGATTTATTCTCAACAACAATAGCAACAATAGCCATGGATAAATGAACACAAAGATCCAACAGACAATTACTTTTTTTTAAAAAATGGGGCAAACATAAAACTCAATGATATGATAGAAGAAAATTTCAATGAGCTAAAGAAATTCCAGAGACTCTGCAATTGTAAATGACTCGTGAGCTGCCACAGAAAATTAATAAAATAGAAAGCAGTATTTAGACATTTTAAAAGTCTAGGAAAAATATTATCCAAGGGGGGAGGATAAGGTACCTAAAATTAAGAAAACTGAATTTTACTTTAGGCTCCTCTGTCACGATATCAAATACCTGACCCAGAAGACAAACCACTTCTAGTCTTCTAGGACAACAGAGGTCACAATGCTCCTTGCTAATCTGCTAGACAAGACTTCCTGAGAGTGTTGAAAAGCAAGGACGTTCCCTTGAGGACTAAGGTGCACCTGATCCAAGCCATGGTATTTTCAGTCACCTCATAAGCATGTCAAAGTCGGACATTGACTAAAGAAGACCAAAAAAGACTCGCTGCCTTTGAGTTGTGGTACAAATTCTGGAAAAGGATATTGAATGTACCAGGGATTGCCAAAAGGACAAATCAATCTGTCTTGGAAGAGGTAGAGCCAGAGTGCTGCTTTAGAGGCTAGCATGGTGAGAATTCATCTTACATGCTTTGGACATGTTGTCAAGAAGAGCAGTCCCTGGAGAAGGACATCATGCTTTGTAAAGTAGAGGCAAAAAAAAAAAAAAAGGAAAGCCATCAACAAGATGGATTGACATAGTGGCTGCTACAATGGGCTCAAACATAAGAACAATTATGAGGGTGACGCAGGGCCGGGCGGGGCTTTGTTCGGCTGTGCAGGAGCTCCCTCGAACTTGCAATGGATTTGACAGCACTCACAATAACCAACAGTAGGCATACAAACTGGCAGTCTGCTTTGGGAAAGAAAATGTGCATTATCTACCAACAAAATGTTTGTGACTTTGGGGTCAAGAATTCTGTTTATGGAAATGTATTACAGGGAGATCATAAACACATTTTAAATCACATGTTCAGAACTATTCATCCCAATGCTCTTGACAGCAGTAAACGTTCTTCACCAGGTTTTCCTAGAAGAATTCATGTGTATGTGTTTCACAATTTCTTAGGAGGTGGTTTATGAGTCATCTTAAGTTCTAAAGACTGTGTCATATCATGAAAAAAAGGTCTTCAGCTATTACATATCACAACTCAGACACATCTCATGTATACTGATAAGCCATCTATTAATTATAAATTAAACAGTAGGAAAGGAACTATACCAAAAGGTTGTGCCTGTTTTTTAAATCTTTTCCACTCTGGGAAATATTTCATCATGCTTTAATTTTCATGTATTAACTTTAATGTTAATTTATTAACAATATGGATTAAAAATAGATGTGGTGGTATATGAATTTTAACTTTCAATGTGTTTATCGCCAAAAGGTGTCAATGCACGTCCATCCAGCTTTTTCCCCTCCGTCCCTTTTCCCAATTGGAGAGGTGGCCATCACGTACACAGCCACTGACCGCTCCCACAATGAGGCCAGCTGTGTGTTCCACATCCGAGTCATTGGTAAGTCTCCTGCGAATGCGTCTGGATACTGGTGAGATGCTTTCACCAATTCGCAAAAATAAGATAGAAAACAAATACAGGTTGCCCGCCCAGGTGCCCCTTGATGTGACTCAGAAAGACAGAAATGGGATGTATTTTAAAGGGAAAAGCTTTATGTTGGTTGATTGAGCAAGGAACAAGCCGAGATTATAGAGTTGCCAGCACAAACTCCTTGAATAGGGGTGTTTGTAGTTTTGTACAAATGCACCAGGAAGTAAACTGAAGGGATTATGAATATGTAACAGTTTTTCAATGGATGGTCACATGTGCATTGGGGAGAGGTTATACGGCTGGTCTGGGAAATGGCTTGTCCAACCTCTTGCTACCAAATATGGTTCAAGTTGGTCTGGTGAAGTCTGCCTGGGCACTTTTTCTTCCTTGACCACAGTCCTTTTGTTCTGGGGTCAACTATTGGTTGTAACTGTCTAGTCTGTGTATGTTCGGTAGACCAAATCTGCTCACAACCAACATGTTCCTGGGAGGAAAGGGCTCAAAAGAAACAGGTTATCAGGAAGGAAAGAGTAGGATGATTATGGGCCAGGTTTTCTACCAGCACATGACTTCAATTCTGTCTTCCAAATTCCCACAGTACTTTCAAATAGATATTTTTTTCTTGTTTCATGCTCTTTAGATGTGGAACCACCTTCCATAGACTGGTGCAGATCCCCACCTCCAATCCAGGCCTCTGGGAAGGAGTGCGTTGCAACCTGGGAGGAGCCTCAGTTCTCGGACAATTCAGGTGAGCATGCAAGAACTTTGTTGTCGTAGGGTACATAATATGAGAGAAAGTCAAAATATTGCTCCACAAGTAGAGAGCCATTGATTAAATAAAAATGTTGAAGTGTGAAGCTCTTGTCTCTTGGCTTATCTACTCTCTGGAAACACTTCTGAAGACGGTCTCTTCCTCTCTCTAACACTCCCCAGAGAATTTTCTGCTTTCTTCTATGTGTGCCATGTCAAAGTGTGGGCTCACTTGAGGGACCCCAAATGTGTTGTTTTGTGGTTGTTGTAACAGTTTATTGACATAGAAGTCACATATCATACAATTCAACATATTGAAGTTATACAATTATAACCACAATTTTAGAACATTTTCTTTATTCTTGTACTCATTATTTTTAGCTCCCAGTTTCCTCACAACATCCCCTCCTAAAACCCCAAGAAACATTTACTGTCTCTCTAGATTTACCTATCTTGGATTTCATATGAAAAAAACAAAACAAACCCAAAAAACCTCTTAACAGCAATAACAAAACAGGAAAAACCAAAATAAAAAAGAAAGCAGAAAATAATATTAAGAAACTAAAACAAATTTAAAAACTAGGTCAAAATAGAGAACAAATGACAAGATGAGAAATTTTAATCTAACCACATCTGCATGAATCTATTTTCCAATGTACTCTGATAGCAAAACTCTTCACGTCCAGTGGCCAGAGGGTTTCACCAGAGGCTTCGTCCACACCGGGAGCCTGTAAATGAATCCAGGGCTTCCAAATTGCATTCCTTTTAAGTTTGCTTTGAGTTTGGGTAACAAACAGAAGGCTGAAGGGTGAAGGTCAGGACTTTCGGGTGGATCAGGTGAAGTTTCTCCAGGAAATTGTTGTAGGTCAACCCCACGACCCCTGAGGAATGAGCCGGTGCATTGTCAGGATAGGAAAAACTTCTTGGGCACAATTTTCCTGGCCATTTTCTCACTAATTTTTAAACATCTTTGTAATAAATTCCCGTGCCGAGTCCTTCAAGAAAATCAATCAAGATTACTCCTTTGACATCCCACCAACAGTCACCTAAAACCTTCTGAGCTGGCTATTTAACTTCCCCTTGGAATCTATGTTTTGAGTGAACATTTTTGGAAGGCAGCCTAACGAGATTAAGATAGGTGTCTGACTGAGAGGACTTGTCTGCAGCCATCCACTGACTGCAGAGACATGCTTAAACATTTCTGTTTGGAAAAAACCCATGCATGTAAGAACCAGCACCCGAGTAGCAATACTTTCACTTACTCTCATGTATTTTATTTAATAAAAACCTCTTAATAATGAAAGAGAATGGTAGGCTGTCACAAATGCACTTGGTACAGAACAATACCTCACAGTTCCAGGTGGGACGACAGTATTGGGAACAGGGCCGTGAGTGTAGCATGCATACAATGTTAGATAGAATTGCTTACAGGATTAGCCCAGGGCCTTCCAGCACAGCAGTCAGGGCATGACACTGAAGCTTACTTTGAAATTTCCCTAAAACTCAGCCAACAACAATCAATAGCAAATTAATAGATTTCCTAATTAAATCCTCAGAGTTCAAACAGACTGACCTAGGACAGCAAACCATTGGTTTAGCAAGAACACTTATGTTGTTTTTGAGTTTATGATTTCAGTGTTGTGGTAGAAGTATTAAATCTCCTTGTTTTCTACTAGTGGCCCATAAAATGAATGCCTAGCTGGCTTGTATAAATAGAAGATGAAATTTCAAATCAACCAAAGCGACCAGTCAAGTGACTACAGACTGGCCTTCTAAGCATCTGACCCTTTTCTCGTTCGCAGGGGCTGCATTAGCTGTCACCAGAACTCATTCCCCGGGAGACCTTTTCCCCCATGGGGAGACTGTAGTGCAGTATACAGCCACTGACCCATCGGGCAACAACAGAACATGTGCCATCCACATTGTCATAAAAGGTATTCACCTCATCGCTTGAAACTGACTCAAGGCAACTCTGTGGGGCAGAGAAGAACTACCCCTTAACTTTTATTTCCCAGGTTGGGAACCTTTACTGAGCAAATTGCCACAGCTTCCTCCCATAACGCAGCTGCTGGGTTCAACCCTCTGACCTCCTGATTAGCAACTGAGTGCTTAAGTATTGTGCTGCTGAAGCTCCAAAATCTAGTTGATGTTTGATATTGATGCTGACCATCGTCTAGTTTATAAAAGATCAAACCAAGCCAAACTCACCATAGATGCCAACTCGGCGACCTTATAGGACAGGGTAGAACTGCCCCCCAGGAGTTTCCAAGACTGTTTCTGAAAGAAGATAGTCTATCACCAACACTGTCAAAGTTCAAATGTTAACTCTACTTAGCTTCTCAATTGTCATTCGTAGAAACTTGCAGGCATGATAAGTAGAAACTCTCTCAGTGTAGTCTTAAATGAAATTTATTAACATTTTTCCTAGTGTTAGGGAGTATTGTCCTAATTCTATTTTGAATGCAGAAGAGAAAGCGTCTAAAAGCGTACTTACTGCATACTGTTATGTCGTTTTCATTTTCATGAACAGAATGCAGAAACATAACAATCTGGAATGAGAAATACTTTCAGATTTTCACGAAGCAGGCACAACCCCTAGTTGCTGCTCGCATATGCCCATCCAGTAATCAAAGAGCAGACATTGCCACCACAGACCCAACAGGACAGGGCAGAACTGCCCCTGTGGGGTTCTGAGACAGTGACTTATAATTTACGGGAGTAAAAAGCCTCATCTTCTTCCTTGGACCAGCTGATGGCTTTGAACTGCTGATCTTTCTGATTGCAGCCCAACTTACAACCACTGCACTCCCTGAGCTCCTATAAACATTGCCAAACTCCCCCCTAAATATTTGTGATGAAAGTCTTTCTAGGAGTGCAAGGTAAGAAGAGTCCTTTTCAAAATTCATCGTAGACTCCTAGAATTTAATTTATACTTAGAGCTCTGAGTTAGTTTATTTAATTTATACTTAGAGCTCTGAGTTAGTTTATTGTGCCCACCTGGCTAATAAACACCATGGGGTTAATTGAAGGGCGGAGAGATAAATGGCTTGGTGAGCCCCGCCTTTCTAGTTCTCCGGCCTCTTGCTTTCTGATGGTCGGAGCAGCGTGTAGCTGCCTTAGCCAGTCACTGCTTCAGCTTGTAAGGCTCACTTCCTGCAAGACATCCCCGAGGAGAAGCCCACTGGACCTACCCCAATGCAGCCCTGGGTGCTGGAGCAACCGTGTGGAGACCCCTGCCAGTGCTGAGATGCTTACACACTCACTGATTCGGCTTGTCCCCTGCA